CCACAGGGCTCTTGAAAGTAGGTAGTGTCAGTGTGCCGATCTAGAGCTAGCTTGGTGTAGGCAGTGTCACCTCTGGAAAAATCTGAAGTGAAATACCACATCCTTCCATAGATGGTTTCTCTGACAAGTAAAATCAAGAAAAAACTATTAGCTATTTGTAATATTTAATTTTAATGTAATATTTAATTATATTTGTAATTTTATTCATCATTGTTTATTCTTAATATATATAATAATTGTTGTTACAGATTGCTATATATAGATGAAATTGACAGTTAAAGATGCCAATCATTGAAATTATGTCACTAATTAATACTCTAAGAATATGAACTGAAAATCACTAAAATGCACATTCTGAAAGCTCAGGGATCACCGCCCTTTGTTTATCTAATTATTTTAATAGCCTCTTCATTCAAGGCAATCCCCTGGGTTTATTTTCTTTTTATAGAAATAATGATGTGGCTGCTTACAGCAAGTGAAAATTTTAATTAATTTATATAACAACTACTGTCTTTCATTAATATTCAGATTTTTCAACAACAGTCATTTTCTAAAATAGAAAATCTAATAATCAAGTGTGTGAGAGAGTTTTCATATTATTCATATGTCATAGAGGTGTTTGCTTTCATTTAATTATTTGAACACAGAGGAACAAGAAAAAGAGAAAATGGTATTTTTGTTACAATTATGAGACTTGCTATATTAAATTTCTCCTGCAGGATAATAGGTTTGATTTTGCATTTATTTTCTCAGTAGGTTCAGATCTGAGGAAAAGATACTTTTTTGATTTGGGTTTTCAAGACGGATTTCTCTGTGCAGCCCTGGCTGTCCTGAATCTCATTCTGTAAACAATGCTGACTTGTAACTCAGAGATTCACCTCCCAGGTTCTGGGATTAAAGGACTGTGCCACAACACCTAGATTTGAGGAAAGGATACTTTAATCATTTAGCTTTCAGAGTTCCTTAAACCTAACAGCAAACAGGAAATGGATTTCCTCTTGAAACAAAAGTTTCCAAACTTTCTCAGTTGTTTGCTTAGCAACAGTTTCTTTTATTTGAGAGCTCTGAAAATGTGTTTCAAACTAAATGGCTCACAAATGCTATTTATTATGTTCTACTACCACTGTCTTCATGACCTAGCATATTTTGGTACTTTGGGTAACACAATGAACTAGTCAGACATGAATTTTATTAAATAAAAAACAAATACTATTTGTAATGAAGTAAATTTATGTCACATTTAATGCTACAGAAGATAAATCTGTATGAAAAATGGAAATTAGTAATGAAAAGAACACTTTATTTAAGATAAATAAACCAGAAGCATATTGCTTACTGTCACAGCGATCCTGGAAAAGTCACTGATTGGATCTTAGAATCAGGTGCTTATCAGTGAGGAACAGACAAGAAAATATGATTAAAAGGGTTGCAGACCAAAATACAATATAGGTTGTGAATATGCTAAATGCAATATAATGTATCCAATGAAGTATTAACAGCCAATCTATGATTGAGAGTTAGGTATCTATAAAGATGAAAACTGGGTGATTTTTAGAATCTCTCTATTTTTAAAATACAGTACAAATTCAGGCCCCTTTTGAAAGCAGAATGCAGTACAGGGAGGAAGTCATGATGTAAAGGTGAGTGAGGGACAGGGGGAAAGAAAGGTAGGGAGAGATGGAGGGAGGGACAGAGAGATTATTTTGGGGAGGGTGGTGGTAGTACTGGAGACTGAACCTGGGCCTAGTACTTTTGAGGCAGATGCTTCATGAGCTAGATCTTTTTACATCTTTTAATTGGTGCTCATGTAGATATTAGTTATTGTGCATTTCAGAGAGTTAGTAAATTACCTGATTAAACTGATCCTTTCCGCCAACTTCTCTGTATGCTCTTGAGTGGGAGGGACATTTTCTACAAATGCAATTCCATATAGCAGAAGGTTCTGCAGAAACTTCTTCAGTTCATCGTTTGTTTCTAATAAACTCTGGAAATCTATAGCTGGAACTTGGGCTTGCTGATAGAGTTCAGCATTCCATAATATTCTAGGTTGGATTACCTTTAGTTTCTGCCCTTCATAGCTATTTTTCACCAGCCAATCCAGATCATATCTAGTCACATGACCATCTGGCCCTTTTTAGGAGGAAAAAAATGATTAAAATAAAATTTAGAAATATTGACAACAATTTACTACTTTAAAATGTTTATTCTTTTGTCAACATTTGTCTTACATTTTTAATTGTTTGATAATTTTATAGATGCACATATATTGATCAAATCCACCTCCTATTCTCTCCCGTTCCAACTGTTCTTGCCCATCACTTTCTACTCAAATCTTGATGTGCACTATTTTTAAACAACTGAGTCTACTTCATGAGTCTCTCCCTCATCCATGATGGGAATTTTGACTGGCTTTATTATGTGCCAAAAGTCGCAAAAACTGTGTTTTGTGTGCAAAGGCCTTGTCATGTCCAGCAAATACTGCTCTTACAAAGTTCATCAAAGAGTACAAGTACCCCCTACACACACACACACACACACACACACACACACACACACACACACACATTAATATATTCAGTTGGTTTTGGAGTTGGACAATGGCTCTGTACTTTTCTAAATCCAAGTATGTTGTTAAAAGGAACATGCCGAGTTTCTGTCTCACATCAGGAGCCATCTGGTATGGGACAGAAGAAAGCCTAGGAACAATTTTACTTTCTCCATGCCTATTTTGTCTATATCATATTCTTCATTGAATGTATGCTTATATGAATAATGTTTAAGCTTTTCGTGATGAACATAGATTTTCCTACAGATCCTTTTTCTGCAGTAATCTTTGAAGTTTCCAGGAAGAAGATGGGGCTCCACAGCAACAACTCTACCTAGTTGAGATGACATTGTGATGCAGACAGTGCTATTATAAGACTGCTTTTTTGGGTACCAGATTTGGAAATGGTACACCATCTCATGACATTCTGGCCAGAACTTCAAATAAGAACTTGGAAAAAGAAAACTCTATAGACTACTTGGAAATTATTTGCAACTATACTAGACAGTAATTTTGAAACTTAACCATCACTTTAATTTGCAGGATCCCTTTAAGAGAACATTGCCACCATGACAGCAGGAAGCAATTCTAGAAGACAACCCCCCCCCAAGAAAAGTTTATTTATAGAGTTGGAAACACTGTTTAGGGGTTGTTGATTATTACTTGTACTAGATAGAGGGTTAGGGTGAAAACTATATAGGGTTAAAAGGGGGGGGGGAGAGTAATAGTGGGTAATAGAATGAATACTTGTGAGCTATTATTTATGGATAATTTACAATGGTATAGTTTTTGTATATTAACACAAGTTCAAATTATATCTGTTACTTTTGTTTATATTTGTACACCTATGCAAAGTTATTTTGTCAGATTGTATATATGCATGTTTCTATCTCTGTTTAGGACATTTTGTATACTGATACAATTTTTAGGTGTTTGAGATGGCATGTCTCAGCAGGATTCTAGACATCCACACAAAGAGATAGGCTGTACAATAATAACTTTAAGAAACACCTCCATCTATGGAAATAAGTAAACTACAGGATACAACAATAGTGCTTGAGACACTTGGGCCATGTTATCAGAATGAATGACAGCAGATACCCAAAGACAGCACTGCTTGGAGGAATGCACAAGATAAGGTGAAGAGGAAGACCAAAACAAAAACAAAAACAAAACAAAACAAAACAAAACAAAATGTTGGATAGACAGCATAAAGAAAGACTGCTGAACCTTAGGAATGACAATAACACGAGCATTTCGGATAGGAACAACTAGAGAGCTACCATAAAAGGGCTGCCCATGCAAGCTTAAGCACTGCCGGGGCAGCCAGGCAGTGGTGGTGCGCACCTTTAATCCTAGCACTCCAGGAGGCAGAGGCAAGTAGACCTTGTGAGTTCAAGGCCAGCCTGGTTACAAGAGCCATTTCCAGGATAGGCTCCAAAGCTATGAAGAAACCCTGTCTCAAAAAACTAAAAAAAAAAAAAATGCTGGGGCATAAATGATTATATATATACACACATTTTAAAATGTGTATAAGTGTTTTGCCTGCATGTATACGAGTGTACTGTGTATGAGTTTCGTGCCCATAGACCAACCCCAGAACTCGGATTACAGATGAAAGGAAACTGGCCAAATTACATACTCGTCAAGAGCAGCAACTGCTCTTAATTACTGATCCATTTCTCCATGGCCTGTTCTTATATTTTTTTAAAAAAAAATTTCTTTTATTTTTTGATTATAATATATCATTTCCTCCCTTCCCTTTCCTTACTCCAAACCCTTCGATACATGACCCACCCTCCATATTTATGGCTTTTTTTCACTGTTTTATATGTATATTTTCCTAAATACATAAATATAACATGTATAATCTATATGATGTTACTTTTATGTATGATTTCAGGGTTGACCATTTGGTATTGGAAGACAAGTTGAGGTATTCTTTCTCTGGTGTGGACTACATCTCCTCCAACTTCCAGCATTCCCTTGTTGCTTTAAGTTCTTTGTATAGGGTTGAGATCTTCTGGGCTTTTCCTCATCCATATTAACATGTCTACTGTTGTTGTCCTTGTTTAGTTCATGTGTAAGCAGTCATATATTGGTGAGACTTTAGGAGTGTGTTTGACATTCCTAAGAGACAGAATCTCACAACAAACTCCCTGCTACTCTAGCTTTTACTTATTAATATATTTTCTAAAACTTCTCATTGACTTTTATTGAGTTACCTAATTTCTCTATTTTTTCTGCCCCTGATTCTTTTGCTTCCTACATGATCCATTCTATTGGTGAGTCTTTCCATTGAGGGTTTTGTTTTTGTTTTTAACATTTTGAGTTTTTCCATTTCTACCAGAATTTCAGTTTGGCTTTTGTTCAGCAATTATTTTTGTTAAATTTTATTTTTATATCTTGGGTTGACTTCTGCATTTCATTTATGTTTTTGTTTTCATTCTTTTGGAGTACATTCATGTCTTTGAGTTGTTTGAACACAGTTGCAATTATTCTTTTAAGTTCTCTGCCTGGAAGTTTTTCCAGGTCATTTACATTTAGGTGCTATTATTATGTAATTAGCACTTTATGGAAGAGTCATACTGTCTTGTTATTTTTTTTCCTGTTCTGGGACTTGCACATCTTAAGTAGTATGTTGGTCAATGTTTTTCATGTTTTCCCTATGTCGTTCTTTTAAAACTTCTCCTTCTTTTAGCAGAGAAATTTACAAGGTCGAGATGCTCATTTTCCTCTGTGGGGCTTATAAAAGAAGTTCTGGAGTGGTGTAGGTAGGCTCAAGTAAACTAAGTCAGATCTTCTTTCTGAAGAAGGCTATGTTGGTTGTATTCCTGAAACTGATGTGGGATTTCCCTCTGTATGCTGTGATTACTGTTAATGAATAAAGAATTGTTTTGGCCCTATAGCAAAGCCATAAGGGGATAGAGGTAGGTGGGGAAAACTAGACAGAATTCTGGGAGAAAGAAGGAGTCAGGGAATCGCCATGTAGCCCCACCAGAGACAGATGCCAGAACTTTTGCCGGTAAGCCATAGTCACATGGCCATATACAGTTTAATAGAAATGGTTTAAATTAATATATAAGAGTTAGACAAAAAGAAGCTAGAGCTAACAGTTCAGGCCAAGCAGTGTTTTAAATAATATAGTTTCTAAGTGATTATTTCTGGGTTAAGCAGTCAGGAACAAACAAGCAGCTCTCTCCTCTTCCCACACTGAAACAAAATTCTTAGGAGCTATAGGTCAGCACAGTGTAGCAGTTCATGGTCCTTGCCTTAAGTGTGGCTCCTGGATATATAGGTAGGCCTAAAGAAGGGTAGGCCCTAGTTCTTCTCTGTGCAAGAGGGACAATATGGGTGGGCCCAAGTAGGGAAAGCCTGGTCTTCTTCTTGCTACAGAGGATATGCAGGCTGGGATCCTGGAGCAAAAATCTTGGGAGCTATAGGCAGGCCTAGTACAGAAGGCACCTGAAGTATGGTTTACAGAAGGCATAGAGGGCTTTCAACAGGGGAATGGTATGAATGAGGCCATTCAGGCTGGTACAGGCGGTTCCCAAGGAGGTATGGGTTAGTCTAAGCAAGGGAAGCAAGGTCTCTTTACTTTCTGCTGAGAATGTTAGTCCTTATGTGTGAAACCCAAGCACTCAGGAAGCTGGAGCAGTAGAATCACTAGTATGAGGCCAGGCTGATCTATATAGTAAATTTAAGGACAGTTGGGCTATATTACAAGATATTGTCTTAAAAATAAAGTGCAAAACAAATAAAGGCAGAACAAAGAGTGACAAAAGCAGCCATCCTTGAAATGTTTCCTAGTTAGAAATTATCCTGTCTGAAAATTAAGTATGATGTTAGCTGTAACAAAACTAAACAAAATCAAAAGGTTATTGAAATTGCTTCTAAAACAAGGGGGGAAATTCACTAAAAAAAACACACCCTAATTTGGAAAGAGCCAAACTATTTTTTTAAATAAAATCATTATTCTTTAGAAAAAGACCTAAGAAATCCAACAAACTCCTGTATACTTACAAGTGAAGATGAGTGTGGATTCATTCAGGCGAATGGTCTTTGGCTTGATACATAAATCCACACTGGCAGTATCCAGGCTCCGTTGATGAGTCTTAGAATTATAGCACGATGCTGAGCGGCAGTGGTCTCGAAGCCAGACATAATCAAAGCGCATTACAGCATTAGCATATTGCAGCTCTAAGAGAAAGATCAGATTTAACAGAAATATTTATTTAGGAAAATTAAATACCAATAGTAAAAACATTCTTTTTAAAAGACTTTTTACTAACAATTAGAGTAACAAAGGGCAGTCCCTTGGCAGTTGTTGAAAATACTATACAATTTCTATGATACAAATGGTATGATTTTGATATACAAGGCACATAAGACTAGACAAGGCTTAGATGTACATTTAAATAGGAGAGAGTGCACAAGATGTATTTTGTACTATTCTAGCAATTGTATTATGTCAAAGAAATAAAAAAAATGGAATCAACAGAAAGTAAATGACTTACCTACACACCAGTTTACCTATTTAGTGAAAGTAAAATTTACAAAAGCAATAGAAACTCTGTGTCTGGAAATGAAATGTAGAAAAGTAATATGAAGAAATCTATTAAATTATTCTAGAAGACTTGAAGGAAGCTAACACATAGAAATACCATGTTCACATATAGGAAATTTCAAAACTAGAAGAGATAAATTCACTTAGAAATCAATGCTCAAATTTCATGTACCAATCTATATCTTAGAGAGTTTCATATATTTAAAAAAATTCTAAAACTCATTTTGAAAAATGATAAAGTTACTCTTTTGCAAGAGAGAATATGAAACACCAGCTTTAAAAGCACATTATAATATTGTACTTTTACATATAATAGTACAGAATAGATCAAGAAAACAGAATGGCATTCCCAACTAGACCCATAAATACATGGAAATATGGCATATAAAAAAATGTGTCATTTTATAAAAGCACAAGAAAGATTGACTTCACTAAAAATGACAGTGAAAAAAATCATCTGGGAACAGGAAATTCTTATCATTAAGAAATCAACTTCTGATGGGTTAAAATATATAAATTGAAAACTTTAAATCTCTGAAGATAGAAATTGAAGAAGATACTAGCAAATGGAAAGACCCTCCCATGTTCATGTATTGGTAGACTCAATATTGTGAAAATGACCATTCTACCATAAACAAGTTATAGATTCAATACAATTCCAAACCAAACCCCACAACATTCTTTACAGAAATAAAAATACAATCCTAAAATTCATATGGAACCAGAAAAAAATCCCAGATAGTCAAAGCTATCATGAGCAAAAACGAACAATGGGCTGTACCCTTTACCATTAATCATTAATTAAGAAAATGCTCCAGAGGCTTGCCTATAACTGTTAAGGAGACATTTTCTCAATTGAGGTTCCCTCCTTTCTGGTGACTCTAGCTATGTCAAGTTGACATAAAACTAGAAAGCACAGTTAGCTAAGTCCTCATTGCTTCCAACTCTCACTTCTCTTTTTCATCAGTGCTAACTACCTAAGGCACAGGTCTATAATCCTGGCACTCTGGAAGCTGAGATAAAAGGATCTTGAGTTTGAGGCCAACAGAGTTTACATAAGGAGAACTAGGTTAGCTTGTACTACATAATGAGACAATGTCTTAAAAATAATAGATGTATGGATAGATGACAGGCAGACAGACAGACAGACAGACAGATAGAAAGACAGACAACAATGGAAGTCCTGCTATTTGCCATGACCTAGATTGTTCTGCAGGACATAATGCAGAATAAAATGCAGCATGAATAAGAAAAACCCAGAGACAGATATTAGGGTTTAACCAGAAGTTCAGAAGAGCAAAACAGCCAGCCATAGGATTTTACCTCTACCTCAGACAGAAAATGGGTGATCCTGCTTCAAAATATCCTCAGACTGAGATTCAGCTGATACCTGTCTCCTCCCATCTTATATTCCTCTCTGGTGCTGGGATTAAAGGAATGCAAAATCACCACCTAGCCTCTATTTGCTAACTATTGTGGCTTCTGGTATTAAAGGTGTGTGCCACCACTGCCTGGTTTATATGGCTGACTAGTGTGGCTGCTTTGCAGTGATCTTGAAACATGCTTTATTTATGAAAACACAAATAATATAGCACTATAGCTTCCTGTTTGTCTAAAATTAAAAAAGAAAGCTATGACTAATATAAGAAAAACTATATACAATGAGTACAATAAATATATACAATATATACAAGCAACAAATACAGCAGCAATGTCCAATCCATTTGTATTTGACAAATTCAGAGAAAATACTCCATATCTACACTTTTTTATGAGTCTAAAGTTTGCATTTAATTTCCTTTCTATCATAACTTGCTTTCTGAGTCTGGTAAACAAGGAAAACTATAACTATCTAGTCATCAACTTGCTCAGAGACCCAAGTGTAATAGAAGACTCCTATTTAATTTCTGGCCACCCAGACCTGAATTATCACACAGAAACTATATTAATTACAACACTGCTTGGCCGATTACTCAGGCATATTTCTAGTGAGCTCTATGTTATTAAAACATCTTAAATGCCATATTCTGCAGATCTCTAAAATGTTTGTAGACAACCTTTCTAAAATATATCTTTGAACTTGAAAACATACCTAATGTAACTACAAATATGATTTTAATAGATGATTAGCTACTAACCCGCATTTTCTTATCCTAAACAGATGGTAATAATAATTTTCAAGAACTAGAAATTTGCATTGCATTGTTAAGTGAGCTGTATAGGTACAATATCTTGAACAAAATTAGAAATGTATGTACAGTATGTTTTAACAAAATTAATCTCAAATTTGTATATATATATATATCCATTTCATTACTGTAGCTCTGTAATAGAGTTTGAAGTCAGGGATGGTAATGTCTCCGGAAGTTCCTTTATTGTATAAGATTGTTTTGGCTATCCTGGGTCTTTTGTTTTTCCATATAAAGTTGATTATTGTTCTCTCAAGGTCTGTGAAGAATTTTGGGGGATTTTGATGGGGATTGCATTGAATCTATAAATTGCCTTTGGTAGAATTGCCATTTTTACTATATTGATTCTACCCATCCAAGAGCATGGGAGATCCTTTCATTTTCTGGTGTCCTCTTCCATTTCTTTCTTCAAAGTCTTAAAGTCCTTGTCAAATAGATCTTTCACTTCCTTGGTTAGTGTTACCCCAAAAACTCTACCAAAAAACCCCTACAGCTGATAAATACCTTCAGTGATGTGGCAGGATATAAGATCAACTAAAAAAAAATCAGTAACCCTCCTATACACAAAGGATAGAGAAGCAGAGAGGGAAATCAAAGAAACTTCAACTCTCACAATAGCCAAAAATAGCATAAAGTATCTTGGGGTAACATGCTCTTGGATGGCAATTCTACTAAAAGCAATCTATAGACTCAATGCCATCCCCATCCAAATCCCATCAAAATTCTTCACAGATCTTGAGAAGACAATAATCAACTTGAAATCAGATTGGTATTGGCATAAACACAGAGATGTCGACCAATGGAATCGAATCGAAGACCTAGATATTAACCCACAAACCTATGAACACCTGAATTTCGACAAAGGAGCTAAAATTATACAATGGAAGAAAGAAATCAAAACCCTTCCATAACCATCAATTTGAGGAGATTCTCTTTTGGAAAGTTCTGTCTGATCAAATGAAAAGCATTTGTTAGTTTTATAGGTTAGTTTAGATTAAATAGCCATAGTGTTTAATGAACAATCATGTCTTTTAATTAAGAGATCTCACTCGTTCCTCTAAAATCTGTATCAGTTTTGATCGTATCCATAGCTTTTGAGTTCCTGTGGAAAGAAAAGCAAAATGCCTTACCCAGCATAACACATGTTCTGGTTTCTATTCTGAGGTCAGTACATCTTTAAAGTATATTGGCTGATTAAATTCTGTTGCTCTTTTTTTTTAAATTATCCAATGTCTCTCTGAAGCTGTTGTTCCTTTCTCATTAGCATTTGGAAAATTCAAAGTTAATAAAGCATTATGCAACCTATTTCTGGGGGTCTTTATTATCCCTTTCTGTTTATTTAACGGATCCTTCAGAGTCTGATTTGATCTTTCTATAACTGCCTGCTCTGTAGGATTGTGTGTTATACCTGTAACATGCTTTATATTATAACAAGCAAAAAATGTTTCATTTTCTTAGAGATATATGCTGGGGTATTATCTGTATTTATTTGTTCATGTATAGTTGTGACAGCCACAACTTCTAGGAAATGTGTGAATACTTAATCATCCTTTTCCAAATTCAAAGCAGTTGCCTAATGAAAATCTAAATAGGTAACAATAGTGTGGTGTATATATTTTAGTTGTCCAAATCTACAAATGGAACACATCCATCTGTCAGATGTCATTCCTTTGAGTACCTTTTGGGTTACTTCCTGCAGGTAGTGATATTCGGTTGTAAAAGAACAAGTAGTACATTTCCTTATAATTTCCTTGGCTTGTTGCAATGTTACAGAAAATTCTCTTTTTAAACTTTTGCCATTGACAAGATGGTTCTTTAAAATGAAATTCTGAGGCATTCAGCACATTTACAATCAATCATTGACTGATTTCTGTATTAACTTGTGCTAAAGGACCTGGCAGACATATATGGATCAGATGTGTTTTTATATATATGGGATGAGTCCTATTCTTGATTTTATTTTGTAACTGAATAAATAATATTCAATTATGTATCATCTGGTATAAATTAAGTGATTTTAATATGCAAAACAATTCTTTCTGCATACTGTAAATCAGTAACTATGTTGAGAGGTTCTTTAAAATCCCTTAGTACCATGAGAATAGCATATAAGTCTGACTTTTGGACAGAATGACAAGGGCTTTGATCCAATTTACTTAAATTTTCTGATTTGTAACCTGCATTTCCTGACTTATTTGAATCTGTATAGAATATAGATGCTCCAGTTATTAGTGTGTCCTATACAATACGAGGAATGATTCAGTTAGCTCTTTTTATAAGTTGAATTCTCTTGAGTTTGGGATAGTTGTTGCTTATCTCTCCCAAAATTACTTCAAGTTGATGTGAGATTCCCATCTATATGCTATGAATATGTTTTATTACCATTGGTTATTAAAGAAGATGTTTTGTCCAATGATTTAGTAGAGTAAAGCCTAGTGGGAAAT